ATATTTATTACATGATGAAACTAAAAATGAAGTTTAACTAAAAGAAAAACACAAACATGCTGATGTAAATAAACAAACAGATTTGATAAAGTAAACACAAACATGTTGATGTAAATAAACAAACAGATTTGATAAAGTAAACACAAACATGCTTATTTATTTATGTAGAAATGTGAGGCTGTTTGATTTCCTGTCTACTTTAGTAAAACTCTTCAGATCTGATTTAGTTTGACTTTAATTTACACAAAATAAATGATGCCTAAACACAGATTTATTATTAAATGTAATGAAATCTGTCTGTGCTGCCCCCTGCTGGTCCATCAGGTCTCTACATCTGATCAATATCTAACACAGTCAGATCAATAAACCTGATGCAGCTGTAATAAAATCAAAGATCATCTGTGGTTTATTGTTGATGAAGATGACTCATACTGAGCACGCTCACTAGACTCATTCTGATTGGACCCTGCAGAGAAACCAATGGTTCTGTTGGACTTCAGTTCTTTATTCTGACTTCATTTCAGTTGAAGGAAGTCAACAAAACACCTGGACCACATAGACCACCTGGACCATATAGACCACCTAAAACACACAGACCACCTGGACCACATAGACCACCTGGACCTTATAGACTATCTGGACCACATATAGACCACATAGACCACCTGGACCACATAGACCAAATGGACCATATAGACCACCTAGACCACATAGACCATCTGGACCATATAGACCAAATGGACCATATAGACCATCTGGACCATATAGACCACCTGGACCACATAGACCACCTGGACCATATAGACTAACTGGACCACATTGACCATCTGGACCATATAGACTAAATGGACCATATAGACCACCTGGACCACGTAGACCATCTGGACCATATGGACCATATAGACCATCTGGACCATATAGACCATCTGGACCATATAGACCACCTTGACCATATAGACCAACTGGACCACATTGACCATCTGGACCATATAGACTAAATGGACCATATAGACCACCTGGACCACATAGACCATCTGGACCATATAGACCAAATGGACCACATAGACCACCTGGACCACATTTTCCACCTGGACCACATAGACCATCTGGACCATATAGACCAAATGGACCATATAGACCACCTGGACCACATAGACCATCTGGACCATATAGACCAAATGGACCATATAGACCACCTGGACCACATAGACCACCTGGACCATATAGACCAAATGGACCATATAGACCATCTGGACTATATAGACCAAATGGACCATATAGACCACCTGGACCACATAGACCATCTGGACCATATAGACCACCTGGACCACATAGACCTTCTGGACCATATAGACCAAATGGACCATATAGACCAACTGGACCATATAGACCATCTGGACCATATAGACCACCTGGACCACATAGACCACCTGGACCATATACACCATCTGGACCATATAGACCATCTGGACCACATACACCACCTTGACCACATAGACCACCTGGACCACATAGACCATCTGGGCCACATATAGACCACCTGGACCACATAGACCATCTGGACCACATATAGACTACCTACACCACATAGACCACCTGGACCATATAGACTACCTGCACCACATAGACCATCTGGACCACATATAGACCATCTGGACCACATATAGACCACCTGGACCACATAGACCATCTGGACCAGGGGTGTCAAACTCAGGTCCTCGAGGGCCACTATCCTGCATGTTTTCCTTGTTTCTTTGCTTCAACACACCTGATTTGTATTTCAAATACCTCCTTAAATCCAGTTGAAGCCTGTTTATCATCCATTCATGAAAATCAGGCGTGTTTGAGCAGGAAAACAAGAAAACATGCAGGACAGCGGCCCTTGAGGACCAGAATTCGACACCTGTGACATAGACCATCTGGACCACATGGAGCACCTGGACTCTGAAGTGAACAGGCTCACCTCTACCTGACCTCAGAGGAAACATTCAGAACAAACTAACAAATGTTCTCCCATCAGTCCTGAAGGGGGCGCTGTCTTCAGGTCAGACATCAACACCTGTCCTTCAGACCGACCAATCTGGAGCTTTCCTCCCACAGTCTCCTCGCTGCCTCGTCATCCCGCCCCTCCGGCGCCGCCTCCTTCTCTGCACAGTCACTGTGGAAATGATCAGATTGAACTCCGTCAGTCCTCCTGAGAAGCCACATGTCCTGCAGGTTCGTTTTAGCCCCGCCTCCTACCTGAAGTAGCAGCCAGACCGGTCCTCCAGGCCCGGCATCACCGCACAGAACAAGGTTGTCTGGCAACCCTGCCATGGAGTCTTCATCATCAGCAGACCTGGGAGCCTCAGCAGCGCCCCTATCAGGGGGAACCAACCCGATACGTGACGCATAAGTTCAGTCCGGATCACACCTGGGTGGAGACAGAAGGCAGACACGCCGGAACCTGGAGGACAGGTGAGGACAGAGTCAGGAGTTAACCACATAACATCTTCCAGGTGATGAGAACTGCCTGCTTTCATGAGGCCCCAGGGCTCAGGTTTATAAAGGATTGTGTGGAAACCACACCAAAAGTGAACGTACGCCAAAAAAACCTCCAGATTTATAAAAGTGCACGCACGTTTCTGCACCTTTCATTTATAGATCACAGCTTCACCTCAGAGTTTGGACCAAGGTCCACCTCAGGTTCTACCTTCTACTTCTCTTCTGAACAGTGTCTGTAACTGACACAGATTTTCCCTCATTTTGCAGGTTTACAGATGTTTACAGTAATCGAATGATTTTTATCAAAAACTCAGATTGAAATTAATTTTCTCTCAGAGCCTGCAGGACGATAAAAACAATAAATAAAATTAAACAAGTCAGATAAAATTAAAAACTAGAAGCACTCGGAGAATGCAAACCTCTGCCAGGACCAATTTCCTTCATCCTGTAGTAGAGTTACAAAGAGGCACACCAATACTACAGTGCCACCTGCTGGACACTTGGAAACCCACGCCCTGTGAAAGCATCACAGCTTTGCTGATCTCAGAGTGTTAAAAGAAAAAAATTCCTGTATGCGCATTGTTATTTGGAACATCACCAAAATTTAAAGGTGTGTTCCTTGGCCCAGTGCCCACATGTGGTAAAAATGTCATGACAATCTGTCCACAAGGTTTTGAGTAATGTTGTCCACAGACATACGCGACTGAAAACATTACCTCACCCTTGGCAGAGGTAATAAGTTCACCACTCTCCTGGTCAGGGAGGGGTCTGTGGGTCAGGGAGGGGTCTGTGGGTCAGGGAG